CCGTAACATATTAAAGGCCTTGAGAGAATCGATAACGATAATAATGACAATGCCATCGACAAAGAACATCAGACACATAAACAAATCAATGTATGTGTATGTGTATGTGTTTTTTGTGTTAGAGAATTGCATCTACTCGGTGAGTTGAGCATAGATGCAAGTAATAATGACAATCGAATCGACAACAACAACAACAACAAGTACTCCAGCAGTACTAGTAATAATAGCACATCGACAATGCTCAATCTTCTTGTTTTTCCTCTCTTTCTTCTTCTTCTTCTTCGTCGTCATCTTCTTCTTCTTTTTTTTTCTTTCTTCTATTCGTCATGTTATTTTTTTCTAATCATATCTAGTGCACTGAACACAAAACAAGTCGTTACTACACAGTGCAAAGATTCATGTAAAAAAAGCTCATATAATTTGGGAACAAAAGAAAAAAAAAATCTCTCTTGTATGCATCAACATGCAATAGAAATATATATATATATATATATATATATATATTGCGTTACAAAACTAAATCCATCGTCTAACCTAACTTTAGTAACACAAGTATACAGCTGTTACATGCTACATACATAATCATGTCTTATTTCTGTATATGTGACACCTTTTCATTGACATGCATATTTTAGTTTCTTGTTTTTCTCTTTTGCATAGGACAATAAAAAAAAGGATTGTGCTCACGTAGACAACATAAGCAAATTGAAAAGAAAAATAATATTTCAACATGCATTCGCATGCGTTCTAGTGATTTCCGATGGATGGGCACTTTTACTTTCTATCAAAAACTCTTCTCTTCAATCTTCATCGAACGTTCTCGAGTACACACACGCATATCAAAAAAAAAAAGAAGAAAGGGGAAACGTAAAAATAAAAAAAAAAACTCGCGAAGATATGCAAATGTCAAGCACATATATAGAAAATGTCACGCTCGATGAATTGGCAACATGTGTCCATTTCTTTTGTTTTATTTTGTTTTTTAAATAAAATATTTTCTCAATGACGAAAAAAATAATAAACATAAATTTGATTTATTTCTCTTCTTATCTTAACATTCAAATACCTTTTTCAGCTGATTGAGCATTGGCTGCGGCTATATTTGCTGCTAGTGTTGATGATGTAGATGAAGTTGTTTGATGATGATGATGTGAATCATGTGTTGTTGAATGTTTACCATCGATGGAACTACTATTTTTGAGCGATGAAGATCCGTCTTTATCTTTTGACTTGGATTTTTCACTTAATTTTGACGATATACGTTCTTTAAGTGCCTGCATGACTGACTAGATGCAGTAATGACAAACACAGACAGAAAAAAAAAACTCTCTATTGAAAACGTTCTGATACTAATATTAATAATACTTTCTATATGTATGTTACACTTTATGTTTCTATCTTGTCCTCCTAAGATAGCAGTAACGGTCGTGCTAGTGGCGATAGGTTATTGTCGTTATTGTTGTTGATGTTGTTTTGACTTGTTTTTGCTTCTTGTCGTCAATGATGGTAGTGATGTTGGTGTAGTGTAGACGAACAGTCAGACTGAGAGAAGAGAGAGAAAGAGAGATAGTCTATCGGCTTTTTTGATTTCTTGGGCATGAGCGTAGTGCGACGACGCGAGAGATATTTATCGCAATATCTTTCTGACACAACGAACGAGTAAGCGAGCGAGAGAGAGAGAGAGAGCGCGCGAACGAACAAACGAATGAAAGAACGAACGAGAAAGAGCATATAAGCGCATGGAAAAAGAAAGAAGAGAAAGAGTAAGCAAGAGAAAAGAATCAAGCATGCATGCAAGCAAGCAAAGTATCATAAGAAGAGAAGAGAAATAGAATAGAAGTTTTACTCTTTGTGTACTAATGTATTTGTACAAGTATAAATATATACTATCATTACGTTGACAGTATTGTTGAGGTATCATAAAAGGCAAAATACATTCTTGTTCTATTTATTTGCCTAGTGTTTTTTTTTTCGTTCTTTATATTTAAAAGAGATCTTGACAGTTTTTTTTTTTCTTAATGATCATTTTTTATATTTTGATACTGTAACAAAAAAGAGTGACATTGACATTTTTGGCTCTATAATTTCGTAGTTACATTTAAAGGTACTATTTAAATATAGTATTAGATGTATGAATTTGATTATTTCGCCCTAGAGTCACATTGCTATGTGAACAATTGCGTCTATATTTATTCTAGTTCAATTATACAGAAATGATTGATAGAACTACATAGTAATATATAAGTAATAATAATATAATCATGTTCGATAGACTGTTACACATGGCAGTAGATTCGAAGAAAACAGAAAAACATTATGAGAATGACTATCATAATCGATTTATTAGAGACAGGTCATTTCTTTTTTTGCATGTTAATCATTGACTAGCATGTTTCAGAAAAATAGTATTGCTTGCTTGCAAAACTTCATTGATGCATGTGAAAGAAAACAACAATAGTATTATTATAATATTACTGTTTTATTTCATTTCTATAAAAAACAGATATAACTATAGTTCGAGATAAAAATCTAATGAATTATTTTATTAATATCTCATGCTATATTCTGTTAGATATAAAACTAATATAATCAGGAAAAAAAATATTTAATTAATGTTATTTTTTTTTTCCCCGTCTATATTTTTGTGACATTCTCATGCGTAAAGAATGTTCATATATAAAGTTTCTTATACATCAATGTCAATGTAACTCTATTAACATTTTTTTTTTTTTTTTTTTTTTGTCTTGATAATGTCTATTTCAATTGAAGTCAACAAAAAGAAAAAAGGCATATCTGATTTGATTCGTCTTAAGTTTTTATTATTAATATATGTCATCACCTATGACAGGGTCGATAAATTCTCGAAAAGAAGCTTATCTCAAATCCTAATCTAATTCATTAAATATTATGAATTATTGATAATGCGTCTTTCTTGGAGTACATTATAGAATAATGTGTAGGAGCAAAGAAAAAATAAAAAAAATGCACAAATATGTTTCATCATTATCTATATTTGTTATTGATAAAAATAAGGATACTGAGTATCATTCGTTTGTTTTTGTAAGATATTAATTTATTATACGACTATTTTCTTTTCTCTTTTGAGCTTTTAAAAATTTAAACTTTTAAGATATTTTTTTTTTTGTTGTTGTTTTTCTTCTAATTACTTTCTATTATAGCTTTCGTACGTGTCATAACGAATTATTTCATTGTCATCACACTATTACAACAAACGTGATATTTCTTTTTTTTTTGCTATATGTGTAAAGAAATTTAATAACTATTTGCGCATATCTAGAAAACAATATTCGTTTGATTTTGTAACGTGTTAGTTAGGATATGTATATATACATACAATGCTGGTCTAAAATATAAGTATAACGTAGTTTTGGTTTTTTGTTTTTCTCCGATGCTGAGTATTTTAACTCAAATTGGAATAATTATTTGAATAGCCAGCCAATGGAGTTCTCTATGAAATGTATTCCATACCGAAATTGTATAGATGGATTATAAGAAAACGGATGCTTTTAAGGTCTCGTAAGACCGTGTAAAAATTAGTTGTTAACTGTAATAATCTTCCAGAATAAAAAACCGGCGGTTTTCTAGTGCGGGCTAGGTTTTTACTAAATTTTACCAGGACGATCAAGGATTTTTGAGAAACTTGTCTGATATTTAAATAGGCGTTATAAGCACCTGACTGCCAGAAAACTAGGTTTTTCAATAGGAAAAAAGTAATTTCAATTACAAAAAAAAAGATTTTTAGGTGTTAACTTCTTTCCCCAAAAGCCACTGATTTTCCTTATAAGATTATACACAACACCAAAAAAAACAAAAATGTACGATTTTTAGCAATGCCTTAATAAATTTCAATTTTTTTTTTGTGATGATTATATCTTTATAAGGGAAAATCGTAGAAAACGCGGCGATGTTTCGTTTTGTTCATATATAAATACTATGGTACTATTAACAAATAATTCTCACAGAATTTTCTTAGACTTGAAAACCATTGTGTTCGATTTTTCAGAAATCTTCTTCTCATAATCTATCTATGAAATTTCGGTATAGAATACATTTAATAGAGAATTTCATTTGTTATTTAAATGATTATTTGTATTTACATTAAAATTTTCAGTATCATAGAAAATAAAAAACATGTTGTTTTCATGTTTTTGACTAGTATTGTATATAAATATAAATAGATTTTATTAAAGCGGAAATCATCCATTTTCTTCACTTGAATAGCTAACTGATTGACTTAAAACTAGTCTTTGTATAAAATATTTTTTGTTATTAAATCTTCTTGGTTTGTTGTTTTCCCAGAGCGGTTCGTCAACACTTGAGAAAAAGCTATACTTATTCAAAAATGTGATGTATAATAAATACCCAGAAGAAATTTTATTTTTTGCTAAACACATATATTACTATTTTCTCTCTTCTTCTTTTTTGGTTCTTAGTATAGTAATAATGATAGTCAACAGATAGGATATCGGGTCTGATGAACATAAAGACGGAAATGTTAGATGTTCATCTATTTTCTTAGTTCGTCTTATATATTATGAAAAACAGGATGTTTCATTACTTCTGTTTCTTGATTATTGTCTCAAGAGTAAAACAAAAACTTTCTTTTTTTATTTTTTTTCATGTTTCATCAAAATAATATGTATTTTTTCTTCTTAATGATATTCAAACATCTTGTTCTAGTTTATTATTTTTGAAGTAGTTCAAAAATAAGTTTTTTTTTTTTTTTTTAAACAAAAAATATGTAGTGATAAAAGTAATAATTTTACTTTTATGAAATGTCTATAAATTAGATTTACATGATTTAATAAATCCTAATTTGTAAATGAATATTTTTATCGAAAATTTTATTAAGAATTTTTTTTTTTTCTTTCTTTATTCAATCTAATTTTTTGACGATATTTGCTTTGTATTTATTACATACTTACTCAAAGAAATACAAAAAAGAACAATATTTCTAACTGTAGATATATATATTTCTATTACTCACATTGATCAACTACGTGATGAGAATGATAAGTTGAGAATGCTGCAGAACCGGTATGTTCATCAATAGTTTTACCGGTTGTTGTTGTTGCTGCTGTTGGTGTTATTGGTGTTGTTGTTAATGATGCTCTACCTGTTCTGAGTATGTGACTAGTATTTGTTGATATTGCACTAGCAGCAGAAGAATTAATAGATTCATTTGTACTAGTAATATCTGCTTCTTTATTTTTTTTCTGTTTTCGAGATGGACGAAAACGTTCTTTAAATGATGGCATTTTAATATGATTTTGATGCTAACATACGTATCTAATCTTAGTACTGTCAATGTTTCTATTTTTCTATTGAATTCTCAATCTCTCGCACACTTTCCGGTTTCTTCTTTTTCTTCTTCTTCTCCTTTTTTTTGCTTAAACATGCTTTTTTTCTTCTCGATAATTTTGTCGATGCACAAATACACTAGGCTAAAGCATGCATCGCAGCATGTTAATTCTTTACTAGTGCTTTTTCTATTATTTAGTTGTTTTCCTTTAGTTTTCTCGTTTTTCCTTTTTATCATGCCATGCGCAAACATAGACATTCACGTTCAAACTTATCTCTTTTCCACTTTTTTCGATAAGCTTCTTCTTCTTCTTCTTCTTCTTCTTTTTTTCTTCTTTATTTGTGTCTCTTAAAAGAAAACACTCTTCTCTTATGTCTTTGTTTCGTCTCATTTCCGTTCATAATATAAATAAGAAAATGCTATATAGAAAAACGGAAAAAAGAACTAAAGATGCAAAATTGTTTTAGACGAATTAATACTCTAGCGATATAATTTTTCTATAAATATATATCACTCATAAAAAATACATAATGGATTTAGTCTATTGGGGGTAGCCTGTATGTATGTGTGTATTGTTGTTATTATTCTCATCGGTTTTTTTTTCACTATTTATTATATTCTTGTTCATCCAATCCTTGGAGACAATAGTTTGCGATAAGAAAATAGAACAAAAGATTTTATTAAAAAGAAATAAAAACACATTCGTTGTTTTTCTATAAACAGGATATCATTAGTTTTTAAGATATAGACGGTTTTGATGTCGATTATTTATCATTGAAAAGAGAAAAATATTACACTTGGCGAGACGTCAAGTTAGAAGAAAATAAATGAATAGTATTATTACTATAGATATATATATATAGATAGATTGATGTATATTATATTAAGAAAAGAACATTAATGAATGTAATCATTTTTTATAGAAAATTTGTAATTCATTTATATACTACATATGATCAACATGCGTTTTAAATTAATTTACCTTTTATATTCATCAATGAGTTATAACTTGTTTTTTCAATTGAATAAATATTTACTAGTGTTATATTTCTATATTAAAACACTACAAATATATTGTCATTTTATAAAGATCAAAGTTTCTTTTTTCAAGTTATGATATATTTTTTATTTCATAATTCAACAAAGTTCAAAATATAATTTTAGCTTTTTTACTTTTCAAAATCATCATTAAATGTGTACTCGAGATAAATTTTAATATAAATGTAAGAAAATACTTTTTAAGTATAGATTAAGATAAATAGAAAAATAGAGACTGAGCAATTATTACATTGAAATTCATTAATTCAAGAATTTTATTGAATGGGAATATTAAATAAGATAGAAAACTTAGTTCATAATATATTTATATGTAGAATACTTGTCAGTATTAACTGTATCGAGTGTGCACAGAAATAGTTTCATGTCGATTTTGACTAGCTATAATAACTCATTTTTGCAAGCATTCATCAATGGTATAGATGTCGATACATGGTGTTTTATTCAATGACAGTTATTCATCGATGCCTCTCTTAGGATACTATAAACTTTTCTTTTTTTTTGCCTATATAGGAACGAATGAATCTTACAATAGTGAGATAAAACTTCACAAATTCTATATTCGAATGTAAACAAAATGTTGATGGTGAATGAAATCGAATCGAATATCCCAAACTTTGTATTGATTCATCGATATATCCGTATGAAAAAGAAACTCTACTTAGAAATATTATCAAAACGACATGACCTTGAAGCTAGTGACAGTGCCACAAGGGAACCTGAGCTCTTTCCCCTAAAACTCTCTGAGCCTTCGGAAAATTTAAAAAACAGTTGCTAAAGGTGATCCCACAAAAGAACCGATAGGAGCTCAGTCCCGTCTTCTGGCCATAAATTGTGGTGTCGCTGCTATTTAAAGCAGCCATTATGAGGTGAGATCTCATGGACTTTTTCAAAAAGTTTTAATGTGTTCTTTTTAACAGAAGACAAGTGCAATTATCAATTTTTCCAATAGAAAAACAATAAAAATAAAAGAAAACATATTATGATTAAGACCAATGACATATTCAGCCATAGGCCATTAGGCAATTGCTTAAGGAATTTTTGGACATAATGATAATCATCGGTAGCTGCCAACTTCTCAAAATAATTTGACTCGTACATTGCCTACAAATAAAAATTTTCTGGTTACACCACTGATTAAAACAAATATTACAGATCCTATCCTATATATTCTAAGTAGATAAGTCTTTCTGTCAATGCGTTTAAATATCTGAATCGCAGTTCTCATTTGTGCGTTTACATTTCTATGCAAAAAACATGAAGACAAGGCGCTTTCATCATAAAAAATGGATAAAAATACTTAAAAAAACAAAGTTTGTATTTGAAAAAACGTGCAAAAAATTTTTTTTCACAATATTTTTTGATGTATTATGCAAATAAAAATGACTTTTTAATGTATGATATATATATCAAAAAAATATTGCGAAAAAAACGTATTTCTAATGAAAACGTTTTCTTTTAACATATCTTCACGGAATCTGTAATACGCGAGTAGCTAGTTTTGATATGTTCTGAATGGTTGTAAAAACGCTCAAACAGGAACCACGATCAGAACGTTTTACACGCGTTTTTTGTTTTAGAAAATTTTTGTCGGTTTGGAATATCTCTTGAGTGAATCAGCTCTTTATCAAGACATTGTAAGTCCTTAACTTAAATTATCTTAATTTCTATTACGCACAAAAAAATAATTAAATAAATAAAGCCAAGAGAAAACATGACATTTTCAAAAAACTTACTTAAATAAATTAGCTTTTATGAAATGTTGTTTTTTTTTTCTTTTTACTCATTAACAGGAGTAATATTAATATATAAAAAATAACCAATAATATGCTAGTTATTATATAAAAGATTAATTTTAATATTACATTTAGTTATTTTTATATGAGAGATCTTTCATTTACTTGATCTATTTACAACATGATATTAAATAGCTAACAGCATACATGTCTTATTCTAGTCTACTAAATTGTATAGAAAAATTATAAATGCATCAAACTTTTAAGACTGTTTAATATTTCAATAAGGAAATTCTTTCCTTCTAAATATAGATAATAGTTAACAGAACCTTATAAATATGAAATTGAATATATAGCTTTCAATTATTATATATAGTTAACAAATAAGAGTTATTCACGTATATTTAATATTTTTCTTTTTTTGACTCGATTAATATTGAATCACTATTTCATATTTGATCTATAGTACATATCAATTCATATTATTTTCGTTTTACAAATATTTATTATTATGATAATATAATTGATTAAATATTTTCTTATAAAAATCAATTATATTCTTTCAATGTCAAGTAAGATTAATTAGTAACATGAGTTAGTTCTTTTTTTTTTCTGAGAAGATCAGTGAAACATGAATCTGGCAAGTTTGAAACGGAAGGATATTTCCAGAGGCTGAACAAAAAATAAATGAGATAGGTAATGCGTCGAAATTTATTCTTACACAAATAGAAAGTTACAGTAGTACAAAAACAAAAAAAAAGAAAGAAGGATCATATTGACTTAGAGTAAAAAAGAAAAAGTCAGGTACTATGACAGTTTCAAACTAAATATATATATATATAATTATCTTTTTTTTTTTTTTCTTCTTGAAAATTTGCTAAAACGCAATGTCTTTTGATGTAGTTTCATATTAAATTAGTTCATTTTTCTATAAAATAAAAAACCGATATAAAGTTAATCTTTAGTTTTTTTTCTATCAAAAAATTTTCTTTTTTTAAATAAACAAACTTCAATATAACTAAACAGATCGATCAGACCTTTGGAAAATGTATAAATGATACTCGAGACTAGACAACAAATTGTTTCATTCAAGTCTATTTATTTAGTACTTTTTCTTTTTTTTTTCTTAAATTGATTTCATTGAAATCAAACAATATTCCGAAATCAAGGAGGAAACAATTTTCTCTTACACTCACTACCGGATGTTAGTTCCGTCGATAAAAAATACCGATAAAAAGAAAATTTAGTTCTATAAGAGGTAGAAAACAACTCAATGATATATCGTTTAATAAATGATAAATTTCTTTATGATATAATATTTAAATTTTAGAATAAAAATTAATTATAATTTTCCTGTATTTATCAATTAGAAATTTCATCATTAACATATTTTTATATGATAAATATGTACCAGATGTTAGTCAAAAAAAAAACAAACACAATAGTATACTTCATTGTTTTTGACACAGATCAATATATAGATGGTGATTGAAGAATTTTTTTATTAAAAGATATTACAAATGTAATAGTTATATCTTTACATATTTAAATATCTAAGAAACAAAAAAAAACCATTGAATAAACATATCTATCTATTCAATCATCTATCATCATTTTGCTTTTTTTTCAACGCATCTATAAATCTCATGAGACTAAGTAACTATTTGTGTGCAAATTTGCTTCTTACCATTCTCAATTTGATCGCCTTTTTTTCCCGCATTTGCATTACCCATTACTTGGTATTTAATTGATGCTAATACAATATATAAAAGAAACTAAGTTTTTTTGGAACGATTAATTTCAAGGAATATATGTAGAAATATTTCTAATTGATATGAATAATAATATTTGACAAAAAGAAAAACGATTATAATAGTTTATAATAAATATTTTAATATAACTACGAATAAATTATTGAGTTGTACCATCATTTAATATATGTGAATGCTAGAAAAAAAAAAAAGAAGATTGAGAAAAAAAAAGTGAATGTAAAATAGTTCTAGTCAAAAAAGCACAAACACTCAATGATAAAGATGACGAGACTATATGAATATGAACGAGCACAGCAGGATAATAATGATGACAGAACGATGGATATGTGTTGAATGGTTTCACTAAGATGTCAATGGAAGTCACACCATCTAAAGAGCTGTAAAAGAGAGAA